GTGGGGTCTTTAGTCAGAGGAGCACAAAGGCTGACTAATAGGTGAGGCTTCTTGGGTGGGTGTTTCCAGTGATGGGTGGGAGGGGGCATGGGGTGCTGGGTGGACCCTGGGCCTCGGGCTGTGGTTGGGCCACAGACCTCCTCAGGATTCCCAGACAGGACTTAAGTTCTCAGGATGGACATGCCCAGGGCCCACAGGACGTGGCCTCAGCCAGTCACCATTGACCAGCACACACCTGACACCGTGTCACTGAGAGGTGCTGTGACCTGGAGTCCTCACACGACCTCAGGACACAGAGGGAGACACAGAGACCACAACGTCAGGGTTGGCCAGGCCAACCATTGTTTAATGTCATCTGGGAGGGCCCAGCAGGGCAGGGACCAGGGTCTGGCACCCGAGGTGGCTACTGTTGTGTGGGGTTCACCACCCTCCCCACAAAGAGGGGGCTCTTGGTGGAGTGCTCATAGATGACCACGAGGAAGGGCCTGTCGAATTTCACCTCAGGGGGAAGAGACATGGGCATCATTTCCAAAAACGTGGACCCCGCAGCCTCTGTGCCTCTCTCATCGATGGTCAGCACAGCCTTATGCAGGGCCTGGAGGGCAGAGAAGCAGAGGGGCCCTGAGGTCCTGCTGCCCCACCCCAGGCTGCAGCAAGGCCCCATGTGGGAGCCTCCTACCAACAGGACCTCACCAGGGCCTTCCTGCTGGACCAGCCTGTCCTGTCCTAGGCTCCATGTGGGTCACTCAGGCCCCCCACCCATCTCAGCCTCTGCCTGAGTCAGCCTGCTCCCTCCCCCTCCTTTCCTGACCTCCATCTCTTCTGCCCTTTTGATGTGATCTCAGGGCACAAGAGCCTCCATGTCACTTCCAATGTATCCCCTCCCCCTGTAGGGCTAGGAGGTCCTCAGCACAGGGACTCTGGTGGTGACCTTCCCAGCGCCCAGACCCCTGTACGAAGCCACCCACATGGACCTGCAGTTGCTTTTGGTCCCCTCCACCTTTTTCTAGCAAGTGGCCCACTGGACTCAGGAATGATCCAGATTTGCTGGTTCACAAGTACTTCTAATGTCACAGATGGAAGATTCCAGAACATTCCCTGAAGTCACTGAGCCTAAGCCTCTCAGTGTTAATGTGGGTAAACAGAAGCCCAAGGACTCCATGGCCCAGGGAAAGGAAAAGGCCAAGGGTCAGTGAGCTCTTCGGGGAAGTCCCTAGAACACCTGCAGCACAGGAGGCCACCTCCCTGGCTCTGTCCTCCTCCCTGTCAGAGCTGGTGAAGCTCTGCATCCTCAGGAGGAGCTCACCTGGCCCTTGCTGTGTCCCTTGGCCCCTCGTCAGCCTCAGGCCTGAGCAGGCCCCCACCACTCTGGCCTGCAGACCCCTGGACCATGGCCATCCTCACCTGGGAGACCCTCAGGGGAGCGTCCTCCGTGATCCCAGACAGGTCAGCCTTTTCGCTGAAGACATTGGTGATGCCCAGACTTGTCAGGATGGGCTTCAGATCGATGGTTCCAGAGATGTTCAGTTTGGGGAAGTATAAATTGACGGAGCTAGTATATGAAGATAGGAAATGAGGGGTTCACAGAGTCTCTGGGGTTCCAATGGACTCAACGTGCTCTGAAAGTGTTTTCTCTCCTGATTGGTTATCTTGCTTAATGCCCTGTCCCCACTCACGGCCATCGAAGTCCTTTGGCTTGTTTACCTTTAGCTTCCTGGACACTTGGCATGGAGAATGTTCCCGTCACTGGGAACATCTTGTCCTGTGGCCCCTGCACACCCCCTCCCCCAGGAGCCTTCCAGGCAGTTTCAGGGTGTCCTCCCAGAAGCAGGTGTCATCCTGTAGCCCGTGGTCACACCAGCCTGCCCAGCCAGAGCCTCCMCAGGGCCTGTGTCCCAGGGCATCATGGGTCAGTGCAGCAGGACTGAGGGACACAGGCTCACTGAGGGAGAGGATTGTCACCTCCAAAACCCAAGGCTGCGGGCTCATCTGGTGTCCCCAGGGACAGTGACAAGACCAGAGACCTGTGCTGAGGCTGCACACTGGCACCAAGCCTCAGGGACCAGTCCCAGGATGCACTGCACTCTGTTCCCAGACCAGGTGCGGGGACCTCAGGAGGGTGGTGGTCCAGCAATGGTGACTATTCAAGTGCAGCTTAACCTGCACGTGTGCGTCATATCTGTCTGCAGTGTGCCTCCTCCACCAGTGGCCATGGCTGGGCTCAGGACAGTGCACCTGCTCTGTGTCACATACCCAGCTGTGTGAATCCTGGGACAAGTGAACCAGCCTGAGATTTGACAGAGTAACAGAGCCTGTGGGAAGGTGCCCTGAGCTCCCAGCGCTGCCTGTTCCTGTTCTGGGCCTTTCCATGCAGGTGCTTCCCCTGTGCACCTCGGCCTGTCCTACAGGAAGTCCTCCCTCTTGCTGCCCTAACCTGCAGGCCCAGGCCTTTGTCCTTGATTCTGCCACAACATGTGCTAGTGTCAGTGCCCCGGCGAGGCCCTGGATATTGGGAGGGGACCATGTACATTCTTGGAGGAAAGTCCCCACTCCAGCTGGATCTGTGCTCCGCTCTTTGACCATTGTCCCTTCTCAGCGGCTACCTGAGCTGAGCCCTGGCATTTCCTGTAGCACAGGGCCATTCCCTGTGAGCTGTGGCCCCAGGGATGGTCCCCCCTGCTGCCCGTGCTGTCTTCTGATGCATTGATCCTGAGGGACCTTGAGTCTGTGCCTGTGCCCTCCAGCGGGTCCCTGCCTGGACTCACCTGCTCTCCCTGTTCTTCAGGAACTTGGAGAGGATTTCCTTAGTGATGGTGTCCTCCAGGTGCTGCAGTTTCCCCTCGTCGGGCAGGAGGAAGATGGCGGTGGCGTTGCCCAGGTAGTCCATCTGCAGCACCCAGCTGGCCAGTGTGGAGCAGTAGTGCAGGTCGAACATGCCCACGCGGTTCATCATGGGCACCCTCACGGTGGTGGCCTGGTCCACGTGGAAGTCTTGCTCCCTGGTGAGAACTTCCTCGAAGGGTTCCTCCCATTTGGCTGGACAGAGGGAAGGTGGATGGCAGTGGGTGGGATATGAGAGGAGAGCAGAGGCGCCCTCAGCCTGCCTGGTGGGAAGCTCCTCACCCACCTCTGCTCCATCCTGGGCAAGAGGGCCTCCTACCCCTCCAGGCTGGGGACAGAGTGAGGGGTGTTCAGGACTAGAGGATCAGCGGGATTCCTAGATCCTGCAGGCTGCCATGGCGATGCCTCCTGACTGTGCTCATGAGCATTTGATTAAAATTATATTTTTATTGAAGGGCGGCTTGGGATTAAGTGAAAGCTCTGGTCCCAGTCCTACAGTGGGACCTCTTCTCCTGGACCTCAGGGTCCTTGTTGATTGGCAGTTCAGTTGTCACTCAGGGCAAACWTTCAGTGCACCCTAAATCCTTGTCCTGGACTCACATGAGAAGCACAGATGTCCAGGCAGCCCGCCTCTTCTAGGCAAGAGCCTCTCACCCTCTCGGCCACCAAATTGGGAGGGTAGTGCAGGGAACCCTGAGTCCACACGTCTCAATGGAGTTGGGAGGACTGAGACCTGCCCTAAGTGCAGCAGAGCTGGCCCCTCAGTCGTATTGATGGTGGCCTGGGGCTCTGTACTGTAAGACTCTGCCCAGGAACAAGAAAGCCAGGGTTCAGAGGAAATCACCCTGGCCTTATGCTATTGTTTGGATATGGTGTCCCCCAAAAGCTCACTTGTGAGACAATGCAGGGTGCTTAGGAGGAGAAATGACTGCCCGTAGCCTTAACCTAATCAGTGAATTAATCCCTGATGGTAATTGGAGGCAGGTAGGCTGTGGCTGGAGGAGGTGTATTCAGGGGTCATTGGGGGCGTGGCTATGGGGTATATATGTTGTCTCTGCAGAGTGGAGTCTCTCTCTGCTTCCTGATCACAATGTGAGCTGCTTAACTCCCCCACACTCTTCTGCTATGATGTTCTACCTCACCCTGAGCCCCAAAGAATGGAGCTGGATATATATAGACTGAGACCTCTGCAAATTTGAGGCCCAAATAAACGTTTCCTCCTCTAAAACTGTTCTGGTTGGTCTTTAAGTGACAGTGGTGAAAAGCCTAGTAAAACACCTTGACTTCCCAGGACTCCCGAAGCCATTGCCCTGGGGCAGTGGAAGCGGCCTTAGGTCCTGGGTCCTGTGGAGTCCTGGCAGGTGGGCAGGCTGAGGGTCCCTGCCAGCTACTCAGCTGTGACAGATCCCCACAATCCCATGTGTGTCTTGGGTACTCCTTTCAGACCTCACAACATTGTCCATGACAAGATAGGACAGTCACATGTCAAAGAGGTGAGATGGCTAGTCCTATGTCAAGGCCATGGAGTGGGGGAGGCAGGATGTGGACCCAGGTCCTGCACACCCCCAGCTGCCACACTCCACATCMAGAGTTGTTCCAAGGCCTTTCCCTGGAAGGCCACTCCCTGCCACCACCTGCCACAATGTGCATCGGTGGCTCTCTAGTCAGGAAACATTACAGGTGCCCCTCCCTGCTGGGGTCCCCAGTGAGCAGGAGGACAGTCAGGACTCGGATGCATCCTGCAGAAAAGTCAATGATTTTGACGGTTTTATCAACTCTTCCCTAACTTAACTGATGGTGGAAGACATTTCAGGGCTTAGGCATGGAAGATTGAGGAGCCACTGTGAGAGGCCCTKCCACAGCACACACAGTGCTGCCAAGGAAAGTTCCAGAACTGGTGGAAGGAAAACATCTTTGGGGTTTCCATGGGAACCCACTCAGGCTGWTTGTCTCATCTTACCTTTGAAGAAAATGTAGTTCACCAGGGCGAGAACTGAGTCTCTGTCCAGATGTTTCACCAAATCCACAATTTTTCCTTGGGTCCCTTTCTCCACATAAGTGTTGATCTGCTTCTTGGCCTCTTCGGTGTTTGTGAAGTTGGTGGAGAAGGCCTCTGAGTGGTACAGGTTCTTGACATCCTCCAAGAACTTGTCCAGCAGCTTCAGATTGTGGTCAATGAAGAGGCCGATGCCTGTGGTCAGCTGGAGCTGGCGGTTGGGCTTGTTGAGGGTTTGGAGAAGATGCTGGAATCCCTGGTGGATGTCAGCCTCTGCAGTCTCTGTGAGGTTAAAGCCCAGACCCTCCAGGATCTGGGTGTGAGTGTCAGCCTTGGTGCCCAGCGAGAGTGAGGCCAAGGCTGTGGCGATGCTCACAGGGGAGAAGAAGATATTGGTGGTGTTGGACTCATGGGCCAGCACACGGTAGAGGCTTAAGGCAAACTCGGCCAGGTTCGGAGCAATCTTGTGGCAGGCTGGGTGCTCCTGGTSGGGCTTGGATGCATCTGTCTCCTGAGCATCTTCAGCCAGGGAGCCAGCAACCAGGCAGCTGAGGCTGGCCAGCAGCAGGAAGCCCCATGAGATAGAGGATGGCATTGTCCTGCAAGGCAGAGGAGGACAGAGGCCTGAGTTATGCCCACAGTGACTCTCTCTGGCTTGGATGGGCAACATGCAGAGCCACCAGGGTGTAGTGAGCTCCAAGACGGCCCAGCCTGTGCCAAGCCCTTCCTCCTCCTGCATCACTGCAAACCCCCAGGGAGAAGCAGACATGCCCTGAGCCCTAAAGGGTGTGAATTCTCTGCTTCCTTCACAGTCCTGTGGGGACAACTGTTCTCCTCCAAAGCCTAGAGGGGTTCAGGTGCTCGTCCAGCATCATCCAGCAAATGCAGTAGGGGGCCAGCTCAGGCACTGTCCGGTAGGGTCCTGAGCCCACCCCTTGGCCCGTCCACTTGGCAGCTGCAATGACCTGGGTGCTACATCCTGTGGGGAACGTGCTGCCTGCAGAGGAAGCACCTTGCACTTGGACCCCTTGAGGACATGGTGGAGCTGTGCTAGAGCCCCCAGGKTCTGTCCCCACCTGACCCTGAGGGAGCCTCAGCCCTGAGTGAAGAGGGGCATGCCTAGGCTGCCCTGTGACCTCAGCCCCAAGGTGGACGGGCATCCTGTGTGGTTCACCTGCTGACACTGGGGGAGCTAGAGGGCCCTGTCCCTCCCCAGCTGTGTGAGCCAGGACAGGTTATTTGAACTCTCTGCTCCTTGTGTGGCCCCACATATAAAGTGGGGGTTCTTGGGACAATTCAAGGAGTCTCAACCCCAAAAGTTCATTGAAGGGCTCTGAGGGAGTGTTTCCTTGAGGGAGGGGGCTGGCGGGTGTTGCCAACTCAAAGCCTTTGGGTGACGGACTGTGAGGGTCTGTGTTTCATGGCTGAGRATGAGGCAGTAGCAAGGGGCAGGGCCTGTGGCTGGACCAGGGGGAGGAGGCTCTGTTAGAGGTGGTGGAGGGCAGTGTAACCCTCAGCCACACGTGGACAGCCATGGAGTCCTGACCCCAGAGCTCCCGAGGCTCCAGCCCTGCCCAGGCCATGACCCTCCAGCTCTGTGGGGAGAAGTGCCCTCCTGCAGCCCCTCAGTTCAACCTGCTCTCCATACAGTTGGGGAACCCGAGGGCTGAGCTGCACAGAAGCCATGAGCAGCCCTTAGCTAATAGGGTGGAGAGACCTGCACCCCTGACTTTGAGCCAGGAAATCCTACGGAGAAGGAGTTGGGAATGAGAAACCCTGAGCTTCACTTGTTGCTGTGACCTTTGGAAATGCTTCTTTCCACCAAGACATAAAAGGGAAGTGAAAGCTGTTTTTCCACCACCTCTTCCTGGCCTTCCTGTCTAAATAATCCAGAGAGAGCCAGCCACACGCTGTGGAACACACCTTTGTCTTTTTCTTTAACTAGCTGCGTGTCAGCGCTAAAGATGATGCTAAAAGGGGTTGTATGTGTCCCTGGCTGTCCCTGTGCTGCCCGGCTGGGCTTGGCTGAGCCTTGATGGTGGTGGAAGTCACCATCTATCAGAGCCTCAGGTCAGGAGATGGGTGGGTCTCAGCAGGGTAGGGACATGTGGTGAGTGGCCTCAAGGCCAGTGGCTGTGGTGTCAGGCCTGGGCAGGGCCACTGCTGTACCCTTGGTCTTGAGCAAGGGTATGAGCCAGCACCGATCCATAACCTCACTCTCAAGTTGGATGAAGGGGAGTTGGGAGAGAGCCAAATGAATGACGTCCTCTGTGCACAAACCTTGGACTCTAAATTACAGGGGTGTCTGTCAAGAGGTGAGAGGATGCAGTGGGGGAGGTGGGGTAGGTTTCCAGCCCAGGTGAGCACCTCTGTCCACCTCCCGTGTCACATCACCTCCTCTGATTTCTTCCCTTTAGAGTGAGGGTCTGAGGCCCAGAGAGGGTCAGGGCCTGGCCAAGGCTGCACAGAGAAGCTGAGGCAAAGGTGGAACAATCCTTGGTTTCCTCCTCTGGGTCCAGGGACTGAGACAGTCCTGCCCATGGGATCCAGGCTTCATGGATGTCAGACCCAGGCCCTGACAGTGACCCCAAGCTTCCTGTTGGGTTCCCTCTATTTCCTGGCCTGTTCCTGAAAGCCTCGGGGGCCCAAGACCTGCTCCCCCAGGGCTGCTACTGGAGGCAGCACCCTGCAGCCCCAAAGCCTTGAGCTGGGCAGGCCAGCTGCAGAGGGTGGACTGGAGCCCTCAGGTACAGACATGGAGGCCAAGCCTTCAGGAAAGGACTGGAGGCGGCACCCTGATRGTTCTGGAAGGGGGTGGAGGTGGGAACAGTCAGTGTGAGGCAGGGAGAGGGAGGACCCCCCAACCCAGCTCATCTCACACCGTTTCTGCTCCTCCTTGTTGACCCAGAGCAAGGAGGCGGGGTCCAGGAAGGAGCCCTGACCTGAGGTCATAACCCATGAAAAACACCAAAGCCCAGCATGAGCCAGCCCTGCCCCTGGTGACAGTGGCCCTGGTAAATGACTCCCCTTTTTGTCCTTACAGTGGGGAGGAGAACTTCTGAAGGAAGAAGTGAGGCACAAACAAGGTGACCAGCAGGTGGCACTGGCCCTGGGGAAGGGCCAAAAACCTGCAGGGTGCCTGCTGGTGGCCACTTGCCCCAGGCCAGACAGGGGCTCTGCTCAGCAGTGAGCTGCTTCTGAGGGGGCATTTCCACCTGTCCCCACGTGTCTGCACATCGTCTGCCTGCTCCTCACTCTATGCCAGAGCAGACATCAGCCCAGGGTCACCATCATTGTCACATCAATGTCACCAACACTCCAGAAACCCAGGCTGGTGACGATGAGGTAAGAGGAAGAAAACAGTTTTCTAGGCCTTGCTCAGTGGCTCCAGAGGCTGAGCTACAGTCCAAGGTCACAGAGCAGCTGAGAGGCCTCCAGGCCAGAACAGGYTTCMTATTCTCCAACTAGGRCCYGARCCCCGAGAGAAGCATTCAACAGTAGGCCCAGGTCAGCAGCATGGGCTCTGGAGCCCAGTGCCTGAGTTTGAGTACTGGGCACTGAGTGATCTGGAGCACGTTTTCCACCTCTGGGTTCCCAATTTCCCATCTGAAAATGGGAATGAGCACAGAACCACCTCAGAGGGGCTGTGAGGMTGAAATGTGTTCTTATGTGCCCTGAGCTCAGCGGCAGCTGGCTCAGAGTGGTCACTGGGAAAGGTCAGCTCTAACCCCATGAAGGTGGCCTTCCCAGGGCTCCCCTTCCCCTGGGTGCACAAAGTGGGCTCAGAACCATGGCCCGTGGAGAGGTTGTCCTGGTTCTGTCCCTGGGCGCCTCTGGAGGGGATGGAAGGTGCCAGCCAGCTCCTGGCTGTGGCCTTCTGTCCTCATCTGCAGAAGGGGAAGAAGGTCCTCACCCAGGCAAAGGGGCTGCAGAGGCTGCCAACAGACAGTGGCAGGAAAGGCCAGGCCACCAGAGCCACTGTCCGCGCAACTGATGTGGCCGCACCTCGGCTCCCCAGGGCTGTGAGCCAGATGCCCTCTGCCACTGCTCAGGAGGGCTGGTGACCCACCAGAGGTACTGCCAGGCTCTGGGGTGACTGAGGGAGAAGAGGGGACCTTCAGGGTTACTGTGGCTAGGACAACAGGAGGCCCAGCTGCAGCCTGCCCCGTCCACCCTGCCTGCGTCCTGCCTCTGCCTGCTTGGGACCCAGAAGCTCCCAGAGGCTCCCAGAGGCTGTCCCCAGGGAAAAGCATACTCACCACTCACTGTCCCAGGACTGGTGTGGTGACGGGGGCTGAGGAGGCAGAGCCCTGTCCTTGTCCGTATTTAAGCAGTGGACACAGAGGGGCGATGGGGGAGGCGTAGTGGACATTAGCCAAGGTCACTCTGGTTATCAGAGAAGCAAACAGACAGGGACTAAGTCCATCGGCCAGATCCCCAGCTGCCACCCACGCTGCCATCGGTGCTGCCTAAGGGGTGCCCGGCCTCTGCAGCGCCATGTGTCCGAGGGGTGTGAGTCACTACTGTGAGTCTGGGACAGCACCATGGAGTTGCCCGGTGTCGCYACAGGGATTCTCGGGGCTGACCCGCTGTTTATTGAGCCAGCTGCTTGGACATGCCTGGTGCTGGAACCCGGATGCCCTGGCCGTCAGAGCAGCATGAGCCCACTTGACAGATGGGGAACCTGAGGACCAAAGTAGTGAGGCAGCTCCTGCTGTCACCCCTCCAGCCTTACATGCAAACACTATCTTGACTTCCCTGAAGGATGAATGGGGCATGACTGAGGGGGCACAGTCGTGATACCCTGTCCATGGTGCCCGTCAGACCGGCCAAGGGCTGCAGAGTCGAGAAGAGCTGTTCTGTCTGAGGCAGGCCTCTTCACCTGTCTGACCAAGGAGGCGTTGTCAGTACGGGCTGGTAAGCCCCGATGCCCAGTGCGGTTGTCAGGACAGACCTTGGTCCAGTGGTGGAACACAGTAGGCTTGTGGCTTGGATCTCTCTGGCCCTCTGTCCAGCCTGCCATCCAGTGGCCCTGAGCAGGAGGAGGTGCAATCTCTGGCTGGTCCCAGGCCTGATTCTGCTTCTGGCTCCCAGAACACCTGACCCATAGAAGACCCTTGAGTTTTCCTTGGGAACCACCCCTCACAGGTGGGCTGGGGGGTGCAAGGTTGAGGCTAATAGGGTCCCTCTTGATTGCAATCCCTTTCAAAACTTCATCCGGCCCTGAATCTCACACACCGCCCTCTGTAGGCCCCGAGAGAATGGTGGGTGCCCTCTGGCCCCCCTGTGGGTGTCCAGAGGACCCACAGGACTGTCTGGTACACACAGGTCCAGGCCAGGGAGCCCATTCAAGTCCTTTAGCCTCTCTGTGACTCAGTTTCCCCACCTCTAACATGGGGACCCCACCTCTCTGGCTGCCTTGAGGACTAGATGTGGCAGTCCCAGGTAAGCTCACAGCCTGGCCCTGGGGCTGCCCCTCGCCAGTGGGTCTCCCTGATGTCACTGGGCCCGGGGGGGGGGGTTTCAGGAACTTTCCTCCTGGCGTTCTCAGTGACACTGTGAGGGAACATGYACCCCATCCCCCTGCAGGAAAGGGAAGCTGAGCTCAGCCTCCTCCACCCTCGGGCCCTGGCCTCTCCTGAGGGTGCTGTGGCTGAGGGGGAGGCCTCCGTACTCCCTGAGCCTGTTTCCCCTTCCTGGGCCTCAGTGTTGGTGTCTCATCTGTACAATGGCCTCCCTCCAAGCCCAGCTGTCCCTCCTGTCTGTCACAGTGGCAGATGCCCCACCTTCCTGCTGCGCCTCTGCCCCCTCAGGTAGGTAAGGGTGTCAGCAAGAGGTGGCTGCCCCTCTCCCTGGGACTCCTGGCAGTGCTGCGGGCCACCCTCCTGTGCCTGCGACACCCTGGTGGTTGACAGGAGCTCCTGTCTCTGCCCCAAGAGAGGACGCTCCCGTGGTGGGGGTGCCACATCCAGCAGGGGCAAAGAGCCAGGGCAGGAAGGGGCCTTGCTCTGCGCCAGGGGGCCCAGGCYKTCCAGGGGGCCCAGGCAGTGCTGCGSGTCACCCACTCTCTTCTGGGTCTAGGCCCTGTGATCCAGGATATGTCACCAGCACTTGGAAGGGAATGGTCCCCTGTACCTCTGTAGAGGGCACAGGCTCGCTGGCTGAGAGGGTTACGGGAACCGACAGCCCTCACTCACTGGCCCCAAGCCTGGCACCGACATCTCTGCAGATTTCCGAGGCAGCTGCAGAGGGGAGGGAGCAAAGTGCTCTGAAAGGCCCATCTGTGCCCCACGATGTCGCAGGTCCCAGAAGGGACCCCAGGGGTGTGTCGCAGGTCCCAGAAGGGACCCCAGGGGGCCACTGTGGCAGTTGGAGGAGGAATGAAGAAAGTGGGGGGCCGTCAGGGCCTGCCAGGGGCTCAGATCTAGGGGTCGGGCCCTTGGGGTCAAGGGCTCAGCCCTCGCCCTGTTCTGGACACCATGGTAGGAAGGAGGGGCTGGGAGGACCTGGGGAAACAGGCCAGAATTCTCAGGGGGCRCAGGGACCATGACCATTTTTGAAGAAACAGCTCCACAGATGCCAGGCTGCAGTGGGGGGAGTCTTGTCCACTGGTCACACCTGGAGTTAGCTGCTGAGCCTCTGATGTCTCCCTGGGGGTGACTGCACCATGGGCCGTCCCAGGCTGGCTGGAGACAGGGGCTCCATAAGGCTGGGGGTGGGGGCTCCCGGTGGGGTGGAGTCCGCAGCCAGGAAGGCTGTGGAAGGGTCCTCAGGCCAAGTGGATCCAGGACAGGCAGCAGGCCTGATGGCCCTCAGGGGAGCTGACCCAGCCTGTGCCCCCACCCGCCACCCAAGGCGCACATGTGGACACGCCCATGCCACGCTCACCCTCCCAGGCCCTGGCTCCCTTCTGGGAAGCAGGGGACAGCGTAGGTCAGTGGTGGTGGCATGTCAGGTGTGTGCATAGGGGTGCATGCCTTCCTGCCACCACTCCCTCTTTGTGAGATCTGGGGCCACGTAACCCTCCGAGCCTCCGTTTCCTCATCTGTGGAACAGGGCTGACCCGTCACTTCCTCCAGGACTGGGAAGAGAAAATGCCATAACATGCAGACACTCAGGCAGCCAGGGCACACGCGGGCCCACGTTGCTGCTAACCACTGCGGGCCATGGGTGTGACCTTTCAGGTGGGTCCCAGGCTCCGAGGAGGAGTGATGGCTCTGTTTGGCCCAGGTTAACGGGGCAGCACTTCTGTGCCCAGGGAAAATGCCTCAGATTCCAGCTTCTGCTTATCCAGAAAGGCTGCCATCCACCTCTTGGTAGCTGGTGTTCATTTTGCTTCCTGAAGGGAGGGGGCCAGGTATATTTAGCATCTTTCTGAGCATCTGAGAGGGGCTGAGGAGGCAGTGGGATACCTGAAACCCCAGGCAGCCTGAGGATTTGGGGCAGGGCTCTTGTACACTCCTCTGACCCTCAGTTTCCCCATCTGTAAAATGGAGATGAGTCCTTTTTGCACACAGTTCTTGCAAGGGTTTAGCGAGGTGATGTCTGTGGGGCGTTCCACACAGCCCTGCTGGGTTGGCAGAGCCGACACTTGGATCTGTCTTCTCCTAACTTGTTTATACCTAGTTATTCCAGAACTTATACCCCAGGAGATGAATCAAAGCACCATCTCTTCACCCCCACCCTCACACCTTGCAAATCAACCAATTTGCAACCTACAAGGACGAGTGGACGCTTTCGTCTTCTGTGCCCAACCTCCAAGCCTGCTGCCCACACAAGGGTAATTTCTGCTTTCTCTGGAGCCAATGGCCTCCACTTCTCATCCACCCTCAGAGGAGAGAAGCAAGGCAAATCTGCACAACGTGGCCCACTGTGTAGTTAACAGAAGAATCAAAGACACATCCATAGCTTGGCCTTCTTGTTAAAATGAATGGGACTGATGTTTGACTCCAGCTTTAGTTTCACTTCACTCTTTTCAAGCTCTAATGGCCATAACAGACTGGTGGCTCTTAGGAGATGCAATCTGTCCCATTTAACTAACAAATTTTTTTTTTTTTTTTTTAATGATCAACTTGTCATGTTTTGGTCCAAGAAGTCCTTTTAGATCTCTTTTCTCCCCGCAGCAATCTGGACGTGACACCATGTCCAGGCACATCTTCATTGTCTCCGGTGCCAAGACGTGCAGGGGGTGACAGCCTTCCTTCTGGAAGCTGCAGGCAGGGCTGTGTGTGCAGGGCTGGCCTTGCGTGGGGTGTTCAGCTGTCGGCTCTGTGTGGGCTGCTGGTGCTCAGAACTTGCTCAACTCAACCTTGGCTCCGAGTGTCCATCTGCCCTGTTGACTTTTCCTTGTTGACATTGGGAATTTTCCATTTGACCCGTTTTACTGAGTCTCTCTTGCTGCACACCCCTGCGCTGGCTTGAGGCAGGGCGCGACCTCTTGCGTCAGGCTTGCTCTTTCCTGAGCACCTACTTCCTGCCAGGCTCTGCTTTAGACACGTCCTGTCTATTAACTCCCCTGGTCCAGGGCAGTGGGTGCTGTTCTTCCCTCCTGTGAGCCAAAAAGTCATAAATGAGGTTCAAATAAAGCAGATGTATTTGATCAGGGTCAGGAGAGGTGATGGATGTGCGAGTCGGAAAAACATGGGCACAGTTTAGAAAAGGTTTTACAACCACAGGAATATTCCTCGGTAGAGCAGGCAGGATGGGTGAAAGTCCATTGACGGGAAACTGACGGGCACCAGGGCGCTTGTAGGTTCTGTAAGCTCTTTGGAGTGTGCCGGGCAGGCTGAGGCTCCTCAGACCTTGCAAGGTAGTGTCGATTCTGCAAACACTTCCCTCCGCCAGATTCTGCTCGGGACATGTCTTGCTGTCTTTCTGATCATTCTGTATCCATTTCTTTTTTCTTTTTGGGGGGATGGTGGTGTTTACTGGGGGTTGAACTCAGAGGCACTTAACCACTGGGCCACGTGCCCAGCCCTTTTTTGTGTCTCACGGAATTGCCTAGGGCCTTGCTAAGTTGCTGAGGCTGGTTTTGAACTCGTGACCCGCCTGCCTCAGTCTTCAAGTCGCTGGAGTCACAGGTGTACTGCCACTGCGCCCGGCTGGCTCTGCATCCATCTTGATGTTGGCGCCATTGCTCCTCAGAGCAGGAAGGACGCTGGGGCACCAGAGGTCAGCACCATGCTGTGGATACACACTCCCTCCCGCCTCCCCTCCTCTCCCCTGTTCTCTGCTCCCAGACACCTTGCACAGAGCCCTGTTTCCCACCAACCTGTGAGGTCTGCACATCAGCCACCTCCCATCCAAACAAACCAACCAAAAAACTCAACCA